TACTGGTGATTAAACCCCGGACATCGCATATGTCAGTCCCGGGCTGGTGTCCAAGCCTAAGGAATTATGCTTCCCTCCCAGCAACCTTAGTCATGCCGGACCTTTCAGAGCCAGAGCCACAGGTCTCCACCAGGGGGTTCGAGCCGCATGATGCAGTTCTGGGGCTCTCGCTGCTCCACACATTCCCTGTTGTGGATGCCCTTGGCCCTCATATCCCAAGCAAGATTTGGGATCTCCAATTTCAGGCCTTAGCAATTGTCCACTTAGCCCAGGTCTTTCGCGCGATCTTTGCCCAGCTCTTCAGTGCCTTTGCGTCCGTGACCCGCCCGTGCTTCTGGGCGCTGCATAGGCAGCCTTCCCCTCCAAGATGACCCTTCCTCCTCTCTTCTTACTTTGGCCCTCTGACTGCACGGTGCTTAGTGCGTCTCACCACCAGCTTGGGCTCTGCCCCAGGAGTCCAAGGAAGAGCAAGCACATCCTCTGGTTTTCCCAAGCTGAGCCTTGTTTAAGCCCCCAGGTGCTGCTAGGCTTCCTTCTCCTAGCAATCCCTTTCCTAGCCGCACACCCCTCAGCCAGGAATGCTCCATTTCAATGAGTGCCCCGTAGCAGCGTACATGCCCCCATGATGCTGGCCTTCTGAGCCCCTTCTGGGTCCAGACTGTTTCTCCTTGCTCCCTGTTAAGTGGAGGGGAGGAAGGTTGTATGGCACACCCCCACATCTCAGTATCAAGATATGTGTGCGCTGCTGTGGATTAACTAAGATGCAGGGCTGCTGGTGGCTAACACTTCTGCTTGGGTTAAACCTGGACCCGTTTTTCTGGCTGGGACACATGATTGGTGACTCACAGCCCCTTAAGCCAACCCTATCAGATAAGACCGCTGGGTGAGGTGAGAGAGGGCAGGCAAAGATAACCATCTGCTGGGCCAGGACGCCAGGCCACTGTGACACCTCTCCTCTCTTGACCCAACTGGAAAGACTTAGAACTCTTTGATCACAGTAGGTCCATTCTCCATTGGTTGCATTTTAAAATAATTTGAACCCTAAATGGATGACATTACATACATTAAAAGGAATTTCAGGAGTTATGACATTTTTTTTTCTACAGGATCTCTCATCCAACTGTATCCCACTTCCATTTGCCTGCCTCTAGCCGTCTATGCCAATCTGTTTTTCTGTTTTGTTTTCTTGCAAAACAAAACTGTATTGCTGTCATGCATTTAAATTTGTGCAATGAGGATTGTATTTTATGCTAAGATTTTAAAGCTGATCCAGGTAGCTTCTGTCCCTTCTAACTTCTGCCTCCTCTCTATAAGTGCCCATCTCCATCCATGCTTTACCTTTCTCATCCCTTTGCCCCCATCAGCAATAGTAAAAGTAACATGCTCAAACATGTGTCCTGTGCAGCACTTCTCAAACATTTTTGTGCACACTTATCATCTGGAAGACTTGTAAGAACACAGGTCCTGGTTCAGCAGGCTCAGGGTGGCCTTAAAAGTCCCTTGGGGGTTTTTTCTTGTTGATGTTATGTGATTTGTTTTGAGATAGGGCCTCATGTAATCCAGGCTGGCCTTAAACTAGCTGTGTAACTGAGGATGGCCTTGAACTTTTGATCCTCCTGATTTTACCCCCCCCCCCAATAACGGGATTAGAAGTGCTCGAGCACTACCATGCTAGGTTTATGCAGTGTTGGGGATCAAACCCGGGGCTGCAGTGCTAGGTAAGCAGTCTACCAACTGAGCTATAGCCCCAGTCCCCAAAGAGTCTGTATTTCTCACCAGTTTCTGAGGGATACCTACAATGTTGTTCCATTTCAGAACATTTTGAAGAGCAAGGCCCATATGGACCTCTGTGAGAGTTCATTTGAATTGCTGAATCATAGGATATAAGTATATTTAATTTTTTTTGGTCTTTTTGAGACCAGGTCTCCCTGTAGCCCCAGCTGGCCTGATACTTGCTATGTAGACCAGGCTGGCCTTGAACTCACAGAAATTTGCCTGCCTCTGGCTCCTGAGTGTTGGGATTAAAGGCATGCACCACTATGCCTGGGTATCAAGTATATTTAATTTTGTAAGGACTGCCTATCTGCTTTCTAGTCTATCTGCACCACCCTACTATATACCAGCAGGGCAGGAGGGATAGAAAAAAAGAAAAGGAGGCCTTATTATTCTTGCCTGCATCATGTCCCCCACCATCCTGTGCACATGGTCTTGATCAAAACCTCTTCTCCCCACTTAACTGGAATGGTCCCAGTTCTCCAGAGTGATATCCCTGGCCAGCAATAAATGGCCAAATCAGGGAAAGATCCAGGCTAGATCCTGATGTCTCAGCTCACTGGAAATCTGGACTGCTCTGACTCATGATATCCCTAGGCCTGGGTTTCATCTCTGATAGGAGCCATAGGATCTTAAGTTGGGTCGTATTTCCTCCAGAGCACATGGCTTTCTTTTCCACAGACTTCTAATGTGGTCTGAGACTCAAACAGCCTGGCCTTGGCACTGGCAAACAGCTATCCTGTTTTTGACAAAATAGTCACGGCATAGATACAAGTTGTAACATTAGAGGCTAGTTCAGGCACTTTACCTACATGCTAGAAACCCCAAGGTAGGGGTATTTCTCTTTGTTTTACCCTGTGAGGAAAATCAAGTTCAGAAAGATTTAGTAGGGCTGGAGATGTAACTTGGTATAGTGCTTGCCTAAGATGCAGGAAGGCCTGGGTTTGATACCAGCACCATATAAATCGGGCATGATAGCATATGCCTGTAATCCCAATGTTTGGGAAGTAGAGGCAGGAGGATCAGAAGTTCAGAATCATCCTCAGCTACATAAGAAGTTTGAGTTATTTCCACCAAGGGCATGGAGCAAGAAAGTGACAGTGCTAGGATCCACTACAGTGACCACTGAACCTACAGCATCTCCATAGCTCTCCTTGCCTTGATACCAGGCCATATCAACTACAAAGAACTACAAAGCAATGGGATTGAAGGGCTGGTCTTGGGTTTTGGGCACTGAAGCTAAAGGCATCTAATCAGTAATATGTAGGGTTCCAAAACTAGCAGATTTTGGCTGAAATGAACCCTGATTCTAGGGCCTTGGGTGTTTAGGTGGCAGAAGAGGGGAGGTTTTTGGTCTAGAGCTTCAAAAGCAAACATTTTAGGGTTAAAATATAAAATAGGGATAAGAAGTTGGAAAGCACCAGGGATTGGGTAGGGGTCAGGAGTGGATGGGGACTGGTGGGAGTCCTGGCTGTGGGCAAATTGTCTATCAGTTTACTTGATAATGATACTCAAAAGTTTTGTTTAGAGGGGCCAATAAATATGCGAATGGTCACACCCTGAGGCAGAGAATGATCCAAAGCCTGGACTGTGAGCAACTTGATCAATTTTGGAAATCCCTGAGCTATGCTTTTCTAACTCAAACAGCCTTGCAAGCATTTCCTGGCACCAGGTCCCAGCCACAAACATTTCACAATTAGTATAGTTCAACATCTGCCTAGTTTGAGGTTTCATGGCAACACAACCTGTTATATCTTGTCCACACTGTCCTGTGTTTACCATTTTAGGAATTTTTCTGGAAGCTCAGGGAAACTTTCTCTTTCTGGATCAAAAAACCTTTTGAGTTTACAGAATCTTCTTGAAGCTCAAAACATCTTAACTACTTTGCCTTTCAAAGTACTTTGCATAAAACTGGGCATGGTGGTACATGCTTTCATCCCAGCACTCTGGAGGTAGAGGCAGTAGGATCAGAAATTCAAAGTCGGGGGCTGGAGAGATGGCTCAGCGGTTAAAAACACTGGCTGTTCTTGCAGAAGACCCGGGTTCAAATCCCAGCACCCACATGGCAGCTAACAACTGTCTGTAACTCCAGTTCCAAGGGATCCAACAGCCTCTTCTGTCCTCCACGGGCATTGAATGACATGGGTGCACTTACCTACATGCAGGCAATACACACATACACATAAAAAAATAATAAAAAGAAATTCAAAGTCATCCTCAGTTACACAGAGAGTTCAAAGCCAGCCTGAGATGCATGAGACCCTGTCTCAGAACAAAACAAAAAAGTATTTTGCAGAGAGATATTGCCTTTGAATCACAACAACTCTTTAAAACAGTTGGAATTCACTTAACATTGAGGTTCAAGAGAATGAATTGGCCATACATTGTGTGTGGCTGAAATGGGACTTATTTTTCCCTTATAGACCTGGAGACTCTTAAAAAAATGAGTATAAGCCGGGCGTGGTGGCGCACACCTTTAATCCCAGCACTCAGGAGGCAGAGGCAGGAGGATCTCTGTTTTCAAGGACAGCCTGATCTACATAGTGAGCTCCAGGACAGCTGGGGCTACAGGGAGACCCTGTCTCAAAAAGACCGAGAAAAAAAAAAAAAAAAAAAAAAAAAAAGAGTATGTAGGGGGTGGGGTATAGCATAGCAGTGGCGTGTATACTTAGTATGCACAAAGACTTGGGTCCAATTCCATGCACACACACACACACACACACACACACACATGAAATGAAACTGGTTGGCCCAGTTCCCATTTCTGGCAGGTAAGTGAGGTGATATCTCAGGGTTTGAGACCATCACCATCCCCTAGCTAGATTTCTGTCAGGACCTATTCTAGGGCCTGTGTTGTCCTGCTGGAAATGGAAAGAGGGTCAGTGGAAAGAATGGTTAAGTCCAGGGGGTATGTAGCTGGAAGCTTTCACAGTTCTGAAGCTAAGAGGGCTGAACAGGGGTGACCAAAAAGATGCTCCCAGGGAGACCTAGTGGAGTTACCACATCTACACAGGTGTTCTCAGTGGTTTGGCTAAGCCATCTGCCCTGTCCCTTCTTCTCAAAGCCTTTGGTCCCTGATACCAACATGGGTTTAAGGTAGATGCCCAGAAGCCAGGCCTCAACTTGTGGTTGTTATTGGGGGCCTTGGGCCTGATAAGTTTCCATTGTCCTCCCTCTCCACAGGGCTCAGGCCTTAGGCCAGGGCTTAACAGACACAGGCAGCAGGATGGGGTTGCCCTTCTATTGGTCCAAGTCGTGAGCATAGCCTGGATGAGTCATGGAAGTAAGGAGGCCCACGAGGCTCAGCAACGTGCAGAAGAGCAGCAGGAAGGAGGCCATGAAGAGTAGAGCAGGCAGGGCACTGAGTACCAGCAGCAGGACAGCTGGCAGCAGATGGCTCCATACCACAGCCACCACAGGCCACAGGGAACTCAGCAGGTGGGAGCCGGTTGTGAATAGTGCATGACACAGCATCAGTGCCAGCAGCAGGTAGAGTATCCCCTCCAGACCCCATAGTATGCGCTGTAGTGGTTGCCGCCAGCCTGACGTGGTCCACCACTGGGCCCAGCTCTGGGGCATGTGGCATGCCCACCAACGTACCCAGTCCAGACGGGTGACCCAGGCCGACCAGGGCACTGCCCGCTGGGGCCCCTCACCAGCCCCGATGATATCCGTTTCCACTCGTGGCTGCTGCATCACGGCTGGTGTACCTGTGGACAGGGCCAGGCCAGCTGCAGGAACAGCCCTGGAGATGCCCAGGACATCTGGATAGGTGGGGATGCAGGGGTCAAGAGGACACCAGCATGGGTAGGATGGGGCTTTGAACTGGGGCCTGGGACTTACCTTTGGGCAGAGCCACCTAAGTCATGATGCTTCTATCTATGTTCAGACTGGCCTGGCAACCAGATCCAGGCCTTCACTCTCACCCACCCCACCATCCCCAGGGGAGTCCCATTATGACCCGGGCTGGGGTGGGGTCCAGCTAAGAGAGGACCTACTCTGTAGAGTGTGAGGCTCACTTGAATCTCTTTCTGTGGACCCTCCAGGCTGGCAGGGGAGCCTAGCAAGCCCTATAGATACCACTCTCATGCTTTCTTGTAGGAAACCTTCCCCATCCCTGTCCCCTCTTGCTGGCTAATGCCAACTCCATCCTACTTGCAAGTCGTTCATTCTCTTAAACCACAGAAAAGGTTCAGAATGACTGCCTCCAACTGCAGGGCTCCTTCTCCCTGCCTTCTCTTGTTGCTCTAAGCCTCAGACCCAGTTATCCAATGTCCATATTATCAGACCAGATGTCCCTGAGGTTTAAAATGAAAATAAAGGGGTATTCCTCCCATACCCCTCAACCTTATACCTGTCCAGCTCAGGATGGAGAAGAAGCCTGAGGAAGCAGAATGGTCATTGTATTTTTGGAAGGCATTTAGTATTTCAGAAGGGCGATCAGGCCCATGGATAGAGGCAAAAAGCTAGGCCCAGCAGGGGTAAGCATGCCACAGACTTCCAAGAGAATCCCCAGACCCAGGAGCAACAGGAGCAGTGCATCCTGGAGGCTGAGTAATCCTTAGACCGTCCCTGTTGGGAAGAGGGTTGCTGCCTACTGTCCTGGACCTTCACCAGCCCCCTGACTGACCCATTGAGAGAAGTCTGTGTTGTGGCAGGGTGGAGCCTGTGGGCCTGTGGAAAGAGGGGGGTAGCTTAGGGAAATTGTCCGCTTGTCCTTCTCCTTACTGTATTCATGTGTCAGGCTGCTGCCCATTACCTGTGGAGTAGGTCAAAAACAAGGAAGTTAACCATAGCAGTAGCAGCAGGGCTAAACCAGCCGTAGAAAAGACTGCTCGAATTGTCAGTCCTAGTGCTCCCAGTCCTAGGACACTGTCCAAGAGTTGGGCCTGGCTGGTCCAGGGGGACATACATGGATACGCCGACCTACTCAACCTCTCCCCAACACCCAAACCCCTGGGAAGGAATAGAATTGGATCTGTAAGGGTTTTGGGCCTGGGTAAGCAGAACTGGGTCATGGAAGGAGGTAGAGAGCTACTGCTAGGGATTTAGGAATTGGGGACGAAAGGAAGACCTTGGCATACACTAAAGGGTGAGCTCAGAGAGTAGGAACTGGGTCCTTGGAGAACTCCTCCTTCCCCCTAACACCTTCACCAAGTCCTCCTTACCTCCTCCCACTTGGGTTGACCATTCTGAATTTTGACATCTGGGGCATTGTGACCTATTGCTGGGTAAGGCCTTGGATTAAGGAGAGGACTACATCTGGTCTGGCCTCATAAATACTGGTGGGCTAGGTGTGGCTTAGTTAACAAGTCATTGTTTTCTGAGAACTAAGACTCATGTCTTTGCTAACAATTCTCTATCCCAGGGCCTTCCCATGGGGCACTGGGTTGTCAGGAAAGCATGCTAACACCATCACTACTTGGGCATCTGCCCAAGGGAGGAGAGGCTGCTTTCTTCCTGAAAGTTCCCAGGGTTATGTATCTGGAATGTCATTCAGTCATTCAATCTCTCTCTCTCTTTCCAGTTTTCTTCCCTTAAGAGTGGGATAATGCCTAGGGGACTTTGGTGGTAGTGGGGGGCATCAGGACTGCAGCTCTGGAATGAAGAAATAGGCATTGCCAGGATGCAACCTAGGCTTTGTGGGGCTGAGCTCCCAAGTGACGTGCTAAATTGGGGTGGGGCAGGAGGAAGCTGTTTGGATGTTTTAAACACTGCAGTTTATGGGAGGTATTATGGTTTCAGAAATGAGCTGGAGAGCTGGGCACATACCTGTTAATTTCAGTGCTCAGAAGCCTGAGGCAGAGAGTTTAAGGTCAGCCTAGACTGTATAGTGAGATACTGTCTGGAAGAAAAGATAGAGATTGTAAGCCTAAAAGACATACAACAGCAATTTCCAAACTACAGTGTTGTTTGGACACAGGGTCCCTCTACTGTAGTCCAGGCTGGCCTTGAACTCACTCAGGCTGGTCTCTAATTCTTAGTGATCCTCCTAATTCTTATCCTCCTAAGTGCTAGGATTACAGGAATGTACTACCACATCCAGCATAAACTCCAAATTGCTGCCATTTTAGAATGAAATTAAGGAATGAACATGTAGTAAATAGATTGGTCACCTGCAATGTAAACCTGCTCCTGCTGACTCTGTAAATGGGTAGTGGCTACAAAGCTGCTGACCACAAGGTCAGTTTGGTGACTTGAGAGACAACAGTAGAAGTGACATAATTTTAAAAAATTGCCAGACATGGTGGCACACGTCTTTAATCCCAGCATTTGGGAGGGAGAGGCAGGCGGATCTCTGTGAGTTCAAGGCCAGCCTGGTCTACATAGTGAGTTCCAGGACAGCTGGGACTACAGGGAGACCCTGTCTCAAAAAGACAAAAAAATATATATATATATACTTTGAAAAAAAGTAGAAGGGGTTGGGATAGGGAGACAGTGGCCCCTAGGAAAAATGAGAGGTTAGATAAGAATGATAGAATAAGAAATACGCTTCTGGGGCTGAGAGACGGCTCAGCAGTTAAGGGCACTGACTGCTCTTGCAGAGGACCCGGGATCGATTCCCAGAACCCACATGGCGGCTACGAACCGTCCTTAACTCCAGTTCCAGGGGAATTCAATGCCCTCTTCTGACCTCCGTGGAATTGCACAACACAGGTGTGCTCACATACATGCAGGCAATACACTCATACACATAAAATAAAAATAAAATATTTAAAAAAAGAAATAGGCTGCTTTCCAGCAAGCCCCGCACAAGGACTCAGGCCTGGTGACATTGACATGTTTGGTGTTGATGGCTTGAGAGCCACTGGCCCTTGAGATCATTCACCAATTCCTCTTGCTCTGGCTTTTGTTTACCCAGTAACTGGGCTTTAGGTATCGATTTATCTATAGGGAGATGGGATATAACAGAGAATCCCAACTTTTCTTTGTAAGTCTCCATTGTCTTTGTAAATTAGAAAAATTAGCATTTAGGGTTAGAACTGCCAGATCCATGAGTCTGGTCAGTCTTTGGTGCAGCTACAAGGTTGCCTTCCTAGACACGCAGAGTTAAGAATCATGTCTTGATGGTTCTACCAGGAAGAAGTGACTACACACTGTAACAGGTGAGGGAATGGGGTGACTAATGCTACTTCAGGGTTGACTGTGTGCAAGGTGCATTGCATATGTTTATGAGAGAGTTCTATTTGTGATTTTTCTTCATTTATTTTCATTCAGCACTTTATAGAGTGATCCCTATATGCCAGGCCTTATGCCTAATGCTGGGTCATAATTTCTAAAAGCAAAGTATGGGTTTTTGTACAAATATTTTACTGAGGGGTGGGGGTTGTTATCAGAAGGAAAATTTTATTTTAAGTGAGAAAGGAGAAGTAGGACAGGGTAGGGGAAAGAGCTAAGCCAGGGTATAGTCTTGACTGGAGTCTAGCTTTGGCCTGAATCTAAAGATAGCTCTGAAAAGTGAATTGTTCTGTAGTGTTGATCCCTTCATGTACTACTGTATCACTCAGGCATTGGTAATAGGTTCCTTCCTCATGGAGGAAAGCAGAAGGAGGAAGTGGTGGCTGGAGAACTGTAGTAACCTTCAGCATGAGGCAACAGCTGTCAGCTGAGGAGATTTGCCTGGAGAAGAAAGCAGCAAACAATATAGTTGGTGTGGGGGCATTGTTGATAAAGGGGACCTCAGTGGGGAATCAACAGCATGTTGCAGTCAGTCTTGTGTAGTAGAGGATTAATTCTGCAAATCTGGATCATTTGCATCATATTCATTCACAAAAACTGTTTGACTCTTGCTGGGCTCTCTCAGGAGGCATCCTCTAAGTCTTTGGGATATCCTGCCCAATAAAAGAGTCTCTTTACACAGAAGTAATGGACCACATCAGCTAGTTTATACCAACAATGTGATTTATGTTGGAGGCCTTGGACCAGACAGAAGTAATAATTTGACCCCCAGAAAGGCCAGTAAGGTCAGCCAATATGGACAGCTGATCCTCAGAAGTTCTAGCCCCAAGGCTCTAATGAGCTTACTTTATTAGCGATACTTGATACATGTTGTCACATATACTTCTGGAAGAATTAAGTACTGTCCACCTGATTCCATTTTCAGATAAACAACTGGAAGCTTGTACCCCCTATTATTTGTACCTTTTTCTTTTGCTGGTTTTAATCTACACCCTTTCTTTGTAATAAGTTGTAACCATTAATATAACTACTTTGTTGTATTCTGAGAGTTCTTCTAATGAATCATTGAGCCAGAAAGTGGTCTTGAAAAACACTGTGTCAAAGTGGGATTCACTAGAACAATGTGGATTCACTGAAACATGATGAAAGCATGATTTGAGAAAAGGACAAGAAGGTGAGAATCGGCAAATCTTTAATTCTTGGATGACCACTTAGTCACCACAGTATGAAAATGCAGCTACCCTGTGATCAGGTGCTGGAGGTGAAAGTTATCAGTGGAGTTTATTAATGAAAGAGCTGACTTCTGAGAAATTGTTTTGGAAATTGTCCAGAAAGTAGAATAATAACCAAATCCCATAGAGAAACTAGAAGAAGTAACAAAAATGGAGGATCAATATTTGAATGTTACTTTTAGAAACTTCAAATAGAAAAAAAATTAAATCATGAAACTTTTAAAGTTTTTATGTGTGTTTAGTGTTTCGTGTGCGTATGTGTAGGTATACCAGATGTGTGCAATGCCCACAGAGGCCAGAAGAGGGCATTGGATCCCCTGGAACTTCAGTTATAGTCAGTTAGCAGCCGAGGGTGAAGGGAACTGAACCCAGGTCCTCTGCAAGAGCAGCCAGTGCTCTTGACCACTGAGCAGTCTCTAGTCCCTAAATTACAAAAATTTTAATAAATTGGGTGTGGTGGTGCACACACACCTGTAACCCCAGAATTCTGGAAGTGGAGACAGGAGGATCAGAAGTTCAAGGTCATCCTCAGATACAGAGTGAGTTTGAGGCCAACCTGGGCTACATAAAACCCATACAGTCCTTATCATTTCATAGCACATGATGAAATTCAAATTCCTGGGGCTGCCTACAAAGAAAAAGATCACATACCTATGACCAAGAGGCAAAATGATATCAAACTTTATTTATTCTATTTATTTTTATGTTTATTTTTCAGATAGGGGCTTGCTGTCTAGCCCAGGCTGGCCTTGAACTCTTGATCCCAGCCTATCCCTTAAACTGAAATCTCCTTTGGACAGATGCTCCACCCAGGCCTACTAGGTTGTTTCCTGAAACATGTACTTGTCCCTCTGAGACCCAGAAGATATTCCACTTGGCTCCTGGAGATAGAGCCCTGGCTATGTAGGTAACCAGGTGTAAACTTGCCTTTGTGATCCTAGAATCATTTTCAGAATCTATCTTGACCCTTCCTGCCTTTGCAGCTCCAATACCTAGTGGCTAGAGCCAGAGGTAGTAGCCACGTAAGAATATGGAGGAGTATGAGATGATGCAATGCTGTGAAGCTCTGAGGATGGGTTTGGAAGGAAGGAGTGGGTGCCTCATCAGTCTGAGATGTCCTGCTTCTGGCATGTCTGTCTCCCCTCCTCCCTGTCACATCTCTCTGGGAAACGGGTGGGGGTGGGGTTTTTGGTAGAGGCCCAACAGCCTATGTTCAGACAGAGGCCTATGTAGACTGTCTTGTTAATTAATGTTGGAGGGTCCAGATCACTGTGGGTTGTACCACTTCCAGGACAGCTGGTCAGAGCTGTATAAGAAAGCTAGCCAAGCAGTAAGCAGCCTTTTTCCATGGTTTCTACTTAGAGTTCTTGTTTGAGTTTCTACCTTGACTCCCTTCAATAATGGAATGTGACCTGTAAGCTGAAAGAAATCCTTTCCTTCCCTAAGTTGCTTTTGGTCAGAATGTTTTCTCACAGCAGCAGGAAGGAAACTAGAACAGGGAGCTCCCTTGAATTTTTCTATGCCTCTGTTTCTGCTTTCTAGGCAGCGCCAAGACATGGCCATGCATTGATCCTTTGTAATAACTCCCTTCTCAGAGAGCATGGGATAGAACAGATGCAGGACTCATTCCTTTGGAGTAGTCCTTACCTGGGACCTTGGTTCCAGGAGTTCCACACCTGGCATCATGCATTCCCTACTCCACCTTGGATTCTGTTTGGGCTGCCAGAATAGTGCAAGATACTGATTTGAGGTTATTCATTTTTTCTTTTTTAAATAAAGACCATGACCCTGCAAAACAAAAGAAAAACAAAACAACAAAACTTTTAAAAAGCCAACTTTGCTCAAGGCTTGAACCACTCAAGAGGTGTCCTCGCCACCACCTGGACAATACTTCTTGTGGAAATGGCAGCAAAGGCAAAGCACCAGCCAAAGGCGAACAGTGAATTCTGTTTATTCCTTCTGGGGAGGCGACTCAGGTATAAGGGACCCAAAGGGGCCCTGGGAAGAGAAGAGACAGGTCTGAGAACTCCTGGAGGAGAGTAAGAGAAAGGGATGGGGCATGGAGCGGGTAATGGCGGGAGGAGGGTCAACTCTCCGCCTCTCCATCCCTGGCTCTAGCCCTCTGGTTATCAGCTCTGGCTGTTCTTGAGTTATGTAACCCCAGAACGTGGCAGCCCTGAAAATGAAGGACTAGGGGAGGGGAAGAAAAGAGAGGAGAGGCGGCGCCCAGTGTGGTAGTGACGACGGGACGCGCCGCCTTTCTTGGGCTGGGTGACTTGTCTTTAGGGTTAGGGAAGGACCCCCGACCCCCATCTTCCCGCTCCCTGTTCCCGGAATGTTTTCTTACCCTCTACTTCTTCTGTTCCACCAGCCCCTGCAGGACGCCTGTGGCTCTGGGTGAATTTTCCTCTCAGGTTGTAGTTTCCTCCCCCAAACTTACAGCTTTGCTACTTTAGCCACGTCAACTAGCTGCCTCTCTGAGCCTCAGTTTATCCGTCTGTGAACTTGAGGTTTGATGGAAATTCAGACCACGTGCACAGTGCCTGGCATCGTGCACAGTGGGTGCCCGCAATGGAACGGGCGCTCACAATCGATTGAAATGGGTGGATTTGCAGACTGAAGGGCCGGGTACTTAAGGATGGTTAGCCACACACGGCGGGAGACCGAGGCGCTGCGGCTGGGGGCTGGCGGCCGCTGGGGTCCGTGTGACTGTCCCCACCTCGGCCCTCCCCTCTCCTAGGAGGTCCGGGTCTAGCGAGTGGCTGTGGGCTGGCCGAGGCTGCAGAGGGGCGTGGGGTGACTGCGCGGGCGGGCAGGAAGGGGCGGGGGTGACCCACCGAACGCCTCGGCCGGCCGGGTGCACCCGGACCATCCCGCCCGCCATGTGGGGTCTCCTGTTCGGCCTGACTGCCTTCGCGCCTCTGGTCCGTCTGGGTCTGGGGGCACCCAGCACCTCAGTGCTGGACCTGGCGCCTCCCGCGACCACTACGGCTCCAGGTTCAGCCCGGGCCCCACGTAACAGCCTTGCACAGCCGCCTGCGAAGGCAAACGGTGAGCTCCGAGACCCACAAACCCGCACTGTAAGGGCCCCCCTCCAACAGCACACACACACACACACACACACACACACACACACACACACACAAACGCGCGCGCGCACGTACACGCATACACACGCGCACGCACACAAAGCCCGGTGCAGTGGCTGCTGACTCAGCAACCCCATTCTGGCCGGACCTAGTCAGCAGTCCTAGGGCAGACCCAGTGGGATGCTAGTGCCTCCAGCGCCAGCCTTCCCCTTTCACAAATGAAGAGGGGCCAGAACCTCAGGCGTCCAGGGAGATGTCAGACTAAAGGTGCACAGCAAACCTATGTAGGAAGGAAAAATGAAAGGATGAAGAGCTGTGTGGAGGAAGCAGATAGTTTCCAGAAGGGAACAGGCAGACTGGCTGGCCTCCCAGCTTCCACATTGGGAAGCCAGGAGCTCTGAGGGCCAGCAGGTATACCAAGCACAAGAAAACCTCAGCAGCTAGGCATAGACTCCAACAACAGGACATCCCAGATGGACAAACCCAACAATGGGAAGCAGCATGGGGACTTGGGAACATAAAGTCTACTTTGCAGCCGAGGATGGCTTGGGGGTGGTGGAAGGAGGCAGGAAATCAGACACAGTGGTTGGTATTAGTGGAGAGGGCACAGGCAAGGACTGGAGGTAAGGAAACTTGGCTCTTTTGAAGGGACCAGTTTCTAGTTCCTGGGCCTTGCTTTCCACTGGATCAGAGAGTCAGGTGAGGCTGGCTAAGTATGTAGTTGTGTTAAGAAGAAAGCACCCGTGGTGTGGCTTTAATTCCAGCACTCCGGAGGCAGAGGCAGGTGGATCTCTGTGAGTTCAAGTCCAGTTTGGGCTACATAGTGAGTTCCAGGCCTGGGGCTACAGGGAGATCCTGTCTCCAAAAGACCAAAAAAAAAAAAAAAAAAAGAGTTAAATGGTCGCCTGGTGGGGGGGTTCAGTGGGGCATGCCTTTAATCCCAGCATTC